CTGCTCCCGATTGCCCCGACCGCGGCACAGGAACGGTAGCGGGTAGAAAAGGGAAGAAAAAAAGGAAAAAAAAGAAGGAAGGAGGGGGAGAGAGAAAAAAGGAAGGAAGGAAAAGGGGGAAAGGAAAAAAGAGGGGAGGGGGAGGGGGTAAAGAGGGGAAGAAGAAAGGGAGAGGAATAAGGAAAGAGAGGAGAAAAGGGGCGATAGGGGGGGGGGGGGGAAGAACTGATAAGGGGGTGGAGAAAAGGGAGAAAGAGGGGGGGAGAGGGGGACAGCAAGGAGAGTCAGGGAGAAGGGGAAAGAGAAGGGGGGAAAGAGGGGAAGGGGGGGAGAGGGAAAGAAGAGAGAGATGGAGAAAAAAGGGAGAAGAGGGGGGGGGAGGAAGAGGGAAAAAAGGGGGGAGGAAAAGGAAGCGCATGCAGGCGGGCGAAGATCACAACCTCAAGCGAACCTAATATAGTTGGGGGGGTGCAATTAAAAAAAAGTTATGAAAAAGTGCGTGAACAGTCAAAGTGGGCCGAAACCAGTGGAAAACTAGGGCAGTCCACGCTGTTCAACGCGCCTGGAAAAATCTGCAAAGCGTAAGAAACGACAGGGAAGGGCGAGGTCGATGCAACTACCAAACTTTGCTAAGCACACCGGTCTCTGAGGGCACGCAACAGATCGGGCGTCAGGCGCCATATGGTACGCAAGGACGCCAAGAAAAGCGGGAAAAGGGGGCACAGCGCTCTGGGAGGTCCGAATTGGTCGTCGCGCCTCGGAAAGTGCCAGAAGGGCTACGAACAGTCGCAAGTCGTGCGCAAAAGGCAGCAGTGCTGGAACGTGGGTATGGACAAGCCTTGTCGGCCGGAAGGGCGTCTGTCTGGCCGGATGGCCAAAAAAGAACAAGGAGGCGAATGGACTCGGGTCAACCGGAAAAGTACATGATGAGTCCTGAAGGCCAAGTAGCAGTCGAGTCCGAACAAGAAACACTTCTCCACCTGGTCCGCTGTTCGAGTGGACGAATTCTAGAAGTACGCGCAAGAGAAAAACAAGTCATAAAACCAGAGGCAGCAGGGATCAAGAGAAACGCCCTGCGCGACGACGAGATCGAGACATTATAAACTAAGACCGACAGGACTGGGCATGCTGGCCGACCAAAAAAAGTCGGAAAAACTGGAGCGGCAGCGCGAGGCAGCGGAGGGTCAAAAGTCAAAAAGCGGCCGAAAGAACAAAGCGATGGTGAATACAACAGCAAAAAGCGGAAAAGGAGAAAACTTCTCAGAAAGGTGCTGCGACCAGACGAGAACACGCTCCCAAATAGAATACAAAGGGACAGAAACGCAAAAAAAAATGCCTCATAAAAACTAATAGACGTTCCCTTCCGACAGCCAGGTAACATGTTGGAATATCGTGGGCCCGACCACGAAGGAGGAAAAAGGGGGCCGATGTAGCCGGCCGTAAGACTGTCGTGGACGTCTAACGAAAAAACCTGCTCAAACAGACGCGAAGCCTGGTGCTCATGGAATGTCAAAGCAAACGAAATCCGGCTTTAAAAAGGGCAAGCAGCGGCGGCGCGGGCAACGTGAGACGAGCCAACATCCAGCCGTCGGCCGCCGCATAGCCAGGGCTAAAGCGAAGTGCAGCGCCTAAGGCAACGGTCGTTGATCGTCGTGCTGAACAAAGGATCGAGGGGCGGATACGCGCTGCCGATGAGAGAACCGGCGGAAAAGAAGAGCCGAAGAAATGGTCCTACGAACACGTGGCTCGAGGCATCGAAGGCGAGCCTACCAAAGGTCGGAGGCAACATAGGAAAAAAGGGCAGCGGTATAATCAGCAGGAACGGAAAAAAAAGGAAGAAAAACGAAAACGCTGGCCAAATCAGGCCCCTCCTCGCGGCGCTAGGAGGATTTTGACCCGCTTCCAAAAAAGATAATCGACATATCCTCAGACAAACAAGACTTAAGTGGTCCCTTCCCCTCAACTGGGAAACCGAAATCCGTCAACAAGCACAGAGGATGCCCCCGTAGGATAGACCCAGACAGCCAGGGGCTAAGCGGCGTTGGAGGCTCAAAGAGAAAAGCGAAGGAATCGAGACGTGAAGTGGGCATCTTCCGCCAGGAAGCAATGGACCGAAGCGCTTGCTTCTCGCGTCACTTAGGCCCAAGTGAAGCCGCTCTGGGAGTCGAAGGGTGTGAAGGAGGAACGGCCGGCTCTCCTTAGTCATGGGTCCTCAGTCACTAGTGGGGGGGGGAGCATGCGGACATCACGCTAACTCTCCTCTCTCTCCAGTATGAATTTTCCAGCATGGAGACCCTCCTAACCTCGGCGGATGAGAAGGCAGAAAGAAGGAAGAAGGGGAGCAAGGGGACGAAGAGAAGGGAGGGGGGTGGAGGGGGAATGGAAGTCTTAACGATAAGGGATGGAAAAAAAGTCTCGACGTACATCCTCTCCTTAGTGTACGAGCTCCGAACCCCAAGCGCGAGAGTGTATAGTCACATCAACAGGGGGAGAACGGTGAGTCGAGGGTGGGTACACAATCAAAGGGGACAAATCAAGGGAAACGAAAGATAACAGAGGAAAGGGAAACCTGAAGACTGGACTAAAGAGAACCAACAAAAAATCCGACACTCAAGACTCGCACAGCAATGCCCACAGGGGTACAACCCGACAGGAAAAGACGTGCATCACTAAACTACTAAGAAGAAATACTTAAGAAGAGAGCTTCGGCAAATACATCCATATCAGAAGACATAGGCAAAAAAGTACGCATTGAAGGGATCCACAGTACACGACCCTACAGAATCAACCTCCTCAGAGCTAACTCCACTATGAGAGGAAAGCAGACGACTCAAAGGAACAAAACTGAAGGGCACAAACGTGAAGGAGAGAAACGGACAACGCTGTCTGAGTTAAGGGACTAGCAGAGCCAGAGAGAAGGTAGGGTGAGGATTGAGAGACTTAGGCCTGGAAGAGTGAGAGGGACACACCCGTCAAAGCAGGGATGATGCCCGGTAATCACCCTCAGTTGCTCACACTCCGGCGAGTACAACCCTCGAGGGCACCGAATCCAACCTTGCAACCCCCAGTAAGGACAAACCGGGGTAAACGCGCGGCGGCGGCACCCAATGCTACACGAAGCACCTCCCAGGCAGTCGCCCCAAGCCTAGCTCACAGTTGACGGAAGCCGGACTGCAGGCGAAACTCCACTCGTACTTGGTATGGAGATTAGTCAGTGTGTCATCTTACGCCTCACACGTGATCAACAGGTCGGACGCCAATGGCTGGACGTAAGAACTGGGGTCATGGACACGCGGAGGGCAAGGGACACAAGCATAAGGGGGGTTAATAAAGCGAGGTCCGGATGGCACTGGGGACGGCGCAGAGAGGAGCAAGGGCAGAAAGCAAGAAGGAAGGGGGATGAACCTGCCGGACCGCTGACGCGGGGGAGAGGGCAAGGGATGGAAAGAACCAATAAACGTGTGTAGTAGGATGCAGGGGAGAGGGCAGAGCAGGAGGCCGGACGAGCGAAAATCGAAACGGGACACAACAGAAGACGTCGAAGTGGTAAAGCGGAACACCAAAAGGGAGAAAGAAGGCAACGTGGCGTGGCTGGCTAAGGAAGAGGAAGGGATCAGGTACAGGAACTTCGACCCCCTGCAGAGGAGGACATCAGAGGGGTAGAAGAAGTAAACCCAGCGACCAAGGCGGACTGTAAACGGGAGCGAAAGAAGCGGCAAACACGGTCCCGGAAGGGAGGACGCTAACATACGGGGGGGCTGTCCAGAGAGCTGTGTGAGCCAATGGGGAGCCGAAAACATTTAGAGGAAAGTACAACGCGTGAAGAAGGCGAGAAATACAACGTAGGGAGATGCGTATAGGTGAGGAGAATGAGGAGGGAAGGCATAAAAGACAGGCGACTGGCCGGGAGAAAAGTCCGAACGTTTGAAGCACCCAATTAGCAAAAGTAGGATCTAGGCGGCCAAGACCGGGGAACGGACAAGGGAATAGGGGAGAAGAAAGGGGTACAAGACGTAAGAAGACGAAGACACAACAACAAAGAGCGCGTCAAACGGAGGAACGGGCACCAGGCTGGAGGGGAAACCCACTGGAGACGTGCGGGGACGAAAGGCCGAAGGGCTTTAAGTGGGAAAGGGGAAAGGGGGCAAGAACAAGGGACACTTAGAGACATAGCGGCCAAGTAGACACGCAGGCAGAAAACAGTACCAGGGCGCCTCGTACGGCGAGAAGACGAGCACAAACGCAGGGCCGCTGAGGAAACAAGACCGAGGCGGAGAGCCACGGCAGGACCACGTACATGGCACACCACCAACAAGAAGCTCAAAGAGAGTCATCGGGGCAGGACAGGAGAAAAAAGGGGGGTCATGAGCAGATACCTATGAATGGGAACGGAAGACACACACTCAGGAAACGGGCAAAGCGTACCGCGGGTAGCCGGAGAACGAGAATGAGGTCACAGCGATCGGGTGGTAGCGGGACCGGTGGACATCAAAAGAAACAGGGCCGAACATCCTTTGGTACGGAATGGGTTTCTTGCCCTTGTCCCCCTCCGGGCCCCCGCCCGCCCTCCAACCGGGTTCTCGACTGCGCCGGTCCACACATCACCGCCGCCTTCCTTCCCCAGTCCCCTCTCCCCACTCCGTGTTGTGACCGTTCCATTGCTTCCAACCACGTCCGCCCTTCGATCGACGGGCAAAAGGGTCGCTCCGCTGCGGTGAACGCCACCCACACCGATTTCGCGCGCGGCTTCATTGCGCCGAGACCATCGCGGCGGACGAGCTGATCGCGCTGGGCGGCGAGCAGGCCGCCCGCAGCGCAGGGCGCATGCGCCAGGAGGGCCGCTCCTACGTCGTCCAGACGGCGATGTCATGCTGTTCCGCTTCAATGTGTAGCCTGGCAATGAGCGGCTACGAGTGGCGCGCGCTATGCCCCTTCTGCTATGTGAAGTTCCGGCGCGTGGATAGGCGCCAGACGACGGAGTAATCAGGGAGGCTTCCACGATGGGCGCAGCTGTCCGGCTGACCGCGGACGATGGTCACGTTCTCAACGCATATCGAGCTGCGCCCGATGGCGAGCCGCGCGCGGGCCTCGTGCTCGTGCAGGAGATTTTCGGGGTCAACGACCACGTCAGAAGCGTGTGCGACGACTACGCGGCCCAGGGCTACCTCGTGCTGGCGCCCTGCCTGTTCGACCGCAAGGAGCCGGGGATCGAGCGGGGCTACACCGCCGAGACGGTCGACGAGGGCCGCGCGCTCAAGGCCGATATCGGCTGGGACGGTCCGGTCATGGACATCAAGGCCGGCGTCGACGCGCTCGAGGGCGCGCCCAAGGTGGGGGTCGTGGGCTATTGCTGGGGCGGATCGCTCGCCTGGCTTGCCGCGTGCCGTTTGGAGTTCGACGTGGCGGTCGGCTATTACGGCGGCCAGATCATCGAGTTCGTCGGCGAGACGCCCGACTGCCCGACGATGCTCCACTTCGGCACCGAGGACGCGGGCATCCCGATGGCCGACGTGGACGAGATCAAGACCACCCATCCCTGACGTCGCGGTCCACGTCTATCAGGGCGCCGGCCACGGCTTCAACTGCGACCACCGCGCCGACTACCACGCGGACGCCGCCGCGCTGGCCCGCGACCGCTCGCTCGCGCACCTCGCACGCCATGGGCGCGCGTGCCCGGACAGAGTCATCGCTCCCCTTTCGTCATGGCGGGCTGTCCCGGCCATCCCGAGCGGTCTGGCCCGCCACGAGATGCCCGGATACCCGGAACAAGTCCGGGCAAGTCCGGGCATGACGGTAGGAAGTCAACGTTACTCGCGCGCTTTTCCGGGACCGTGTACTAGCGCCCGGCCGTGGCCGCCCAGACCACCCGGTCCGCCTCGGCGTTATCGGCGGCAGCGGCCTCTACGAGATCGAGGGGCTGAGCGAGACGGAGCGGATCGACGTCCGCTCTCCCTTCGGGACTCCGTCCGATTCGCTTCTCCTCGGCGCCTCGCCGGCACCGACATGGTGTTCCTGCCGCGCCACGGGCGCGGTCACCCGCTGCCGCCAAGCGCGGTCGACTACCGCGCCAATATCGATGCGCTGAAGCGCGCGGGCGTGACGGACATCGTTCTCGCTGAGCGCGGTGGGCAGCCTGAAGGATGACATCGCACCCGGCGACTTCGTCCTCGTCGACCAGTTCATCGACCGCACCTTCGCCCGCGAGAAGAGCTTTTTCGGCGCCGGCCTCGCCGCCCATGTCTCCATGGCCGAGCCCGGTGTGCCCCGGCTCGGCGACCATCTGCTGGCGGCCGGCGAGAGCCTCGGGCTCAGCATCGTCCGGGGCGGACCTACCTCGCGATGGAAGGACCGCAGTTCTCGACCGTCGCCGAATCCGAGCTCTATCGCCAGTGGGGCTGCTCGGTCATCGGCATGACCAACATGCCGGAGGCCAAGCTCGCCCGCGAGGCGGAGATCTGCTACGCGACCGTCGCCATGGTGACGGACTACGACTGCTGGCACCCGGATCACGCCGCCGTCACGGTCGAAGCCATCGTGCGGACGTTGCAGGAGAACGCGGCAGCCGCCCGCCGCCTGGTGGCGGCGCTTGGCGAAGCGCTCGCGGCCGAGCGCGGCCCCTGCCCTGCCGGTTGCGACCGGGCGCTGGAGAATGCGGTGATCACGGCGCCGGAGGCCCGCGACCTGCGATGGTGAAACGCCTCGACGCCGTCGCCGGCCGCGTGCTGGGTTAGCCGGCTCCACTTAAACTCCCTCAGCGCCGGCGCTCGTCCGCTGCTTAGGCTACGCGCATCGCGACGCGGCGCAGTCGCGCGTCCGCGTCGGCGTCGAGCAGCCGGAGCGGCGGAGAGGGCCGGGGGAGTGGGGGCTTTTTCATTTCCCTCAACGGCGGGCGCGAGCTCCGCTCGCTTGCCTACGCGCCATTCGGCGCGGCGCGCGGTCGCGCGCTCCGAACCTGCGGTTCGGCCCTCTCCATGGCAGCCTCCTCGTCGGTTGCCGGGCGTGTATCCCGGACCATGGTGCGGTGGAGGGCGCAGGCGGCGCGGCAGCATCGCGCCATGCAAAACGAAACCCCAAAGCAAAGAGAAAGAAGAAAAAGGCGGAGAGATCGAAGAGAGAGAGGAGCGAAGAAGGCGAAGGGAAGAGAGTGAAGGAGAGGAGGAAAGAGTACGAGATGAAAAAAGAGCCAAGATGAGCCACGGTAACCTGAGTAAGAGGGAGCCTCGGACGGGCAGGAGAGGTGCGAGAGAGAGGAAGGAGGACGTCGAAGCAAAAGAAAGGGACGTAGACGGTGGAACGAAAAAAGCAAAGGGACTCGGTAAGAAAGAGAAAATAGGAGGTGGGGGTGGGAGGGCCCCACGTGAGGAGAAGAGAGGGAAAGGAGAGAGTTGGGTCTAGAGGACGGGATGAGAGAAGGTAGGAAGAGGATCGAGAGATAAAGAGAGAGAAGAAAGAAGAAAGAAGTTTCGTCTTAGAAGAAGAACAAGCAGGAAGAGCGAGATAAGACGGGAAGCGGGTCTAGGCGCTAAGAGCAAAAGGACAACGAAAAGCAGAAGACAGGAAATGACGGGATGAAGGAGGAGGTGAAGGAGGGCAAGGACACGAGAAGGCGGAGAGCACGGGTAAAGGGAAGGGGAAGGGCATCTGCGCCGGCGAGGCCGCGCGCGCCATCCGCGAGGTCGTGCGAGGGCAGGCCCGCCCGCCTGAGCGCGCCGTACATCGGCGCCGGTCGGACCGTGGAATCCTGCGGAATCCCACTTAATCCCACCTAATCCCGGACCAAAAAACGGTGCTTTGCCGGGACGGACGGCGGAAGCGGATCGCGACGGTGATGGGACCGGCAATGTTTGTCGAAATTGGTTTATCGATTTCGCAGGTCTGCCAGTTCTCACGTCATCGCACGGACTTGTTCGCCATGACACAGCGAATGTGAGCCGACATGGGGCCTCGTGAGCGTGGCCGGACAAGTCGGGCATGACGCGACGATGGGAAACCGCAAGTCATGCGAATCTCAGAAACACGGCACTAGCGGCTCCGTTCGACCTCGACGCCGACGCCTGCGGCATCCGGGAAGAGGTCGAGCTTCTCGACCCGCACCCACACACCGCGCGCACGAGGGTTGGCAAGGCAGAGCTCGACGATGCGGTCGGCCAGTGTCTCCACCAGATTGATGTGGCCGGATCGGGCGATGGCACGAATGCCGTCCACGATGGCCTCGTAGGAGACGACGTTGGCGATGCTGTCCCCGATCGGCCGCTCGTCCTCCGCCACCTGTACGCGGACGTTGATCCGCACCCGTTGCGTGGCGTGGCGCTCGTGCTCGTGAACGCCGATCGAGCAGGGCACGACGAGATCGTGGATCAGCAGGCAGCGCCGCGCGGCCCCGGCCCGCGCCTGCGCTCCGGGGGGTATTCGTGGTCATTCCAGGATCCGTTCGCCCCTGCGGCATCGCCCAGCCGAGATGCTGACCGCTGTCCAAGGGCGATCATCTGCCCGGTGAGCGCGCGCGCCGCAAGGATGAAGCGTATGCCGTCGGCGATGTCGGCGGGCGCCACGCTCCGCTTCAACGGCGTGGCTTCGTATTGCGCGGCGAAGTGCTCGGCGCTCTGGCGGGAGCTCGGCAGGGTCGGGCCGGGGCCGATACCGTTGACCCGGATGCGGGGCGCAAGCGCGAGCGCCGCCGTTTGCGTGAGCGTCCAGAGCCCCGCCTTGCTGAGCGTGTAGGACATGAAATGCGGCGTGAGGTTCCAGACGCGCTGGTCGAGCATGTTGACGATGCAGCCCTCCGCCTCGTCCGGCATGCCGCCGCGAACCTCTGCATCAGCACGAACGGCGCGCGCAGATTGACCGCCATGTGGAGATCCCAGCTCGCGCGGTCTGCGCTTTGCAGGTCGTCGTACTCGAAGGGGGAGGCGTTGTTGACGAGGCAGCCGAGGGGCCCGAGGGCATCCGTCGCGCGCGCCACCAGGGTTTCGACCTCGGCCTCCTCGGCGAGATCGGCCCTGAGCGCCACGGCGCGGCCGCCGGCGCTCTCGATGCCGGCGACGACGTCCCTCGCGGCCTCTCCCGACTCGCGATGATGCACCGCGACCGCCCAGCCGTCGTGTGCCAGCGCCTCGGCGATGGTGCGGCCGATTCGCGTCGCGGCGCCGGTGACCAGAGCCGCCCGCGGCATTGCGCCTGAATATGTGTCCGAAGCAGCCATCGATGGCCGGGCTAGCTGCCCGCCTCCTGCCGTCTCTCTTCTTGTTGGTAGAAGCGGAAGACCATGTCGGTCAGGGTGACGAAGCCCACCGCCTCGTTCCCGTCGACCACCACGCCGCGCGACAGGCCGAACCGGCCGAGGAGCCGGATCGCGTACTTGATCTCCATGTCTGCGTTCACGGTGAGCACCGGCTTCGACATGATCTCATAGACGTTCACGCGGTCGGGCGAGCGGTTGTGCGCGATCACCTTGTTGGCGATGTCGGAGTCCACGACGATGCCGTACTCGTCGCCGGGCCGCCGGCGCTCGACCACGAGGGAGCGCACCTGGTTCTCGCGCATCCGCTCGAGGGCTTCGTGAACCGTGGCCATGCCGTCGATCGGCGCCGGCATGGGCGACATCACGGCGCGCACCGTGTTGAAGCGGGTGTCCTGGCTCGGGGCCGCCGTGCCCGTGCTCGCCTTCTGCTCATATCTGGTCCTCGATTTCGTGCTTGATCTCCGGGATCTGGCTGGAGAGGCCGATGGCGTCCTCGATCGCGATCTGGAAGGCGATCCCCGTCCCCGACTTTTCCTCGAAGGCCCCTTCCGTTGCGATCTCCTCGAGGACGGCACGGCTCATATGCTCTTCGACGAGGAACATCACAATGTCGCGCTGGCCGCTCAGCCTCAAGCCGAGAAAGGTCTTCTCCGGCTCCAGCCCCTCGCCGCGGCATCCCGTGATGATGGTAGCCCCGGTCGCACCGCTGCGGCGACCGGCGTCGAGGACGGCTTCCGTCTCGCCGGCATCCACGAGCGCCATGATGAGCTTGAAACGCATTGTCTAAGCTCCTTTCCCGGATGATCGGCGCTTGCGCGCGGCTTGGAGCGCCGATGAGAGCTGGGCATAACCCAGCACCGCGATGACGGCAAAGACGCAGGCAAACGCGATGAGGCCGAAGCCGTCGAGCATCGGGCTGCGGCCGGGCACGTTGGCGGCAAGGCCGAGGCCGAGTGCTGCGACCAGCGGCACGGTCACGGTCGACGACGTGACGCCGCCGGAATCGTAGGCGAGCGCGATGATGCTGCGTGAGGCGAAGATCGTCAGCACGATGACGATCGCGTAGGCGGACATGAACAGATAGTGGAGCGGCAGCCCGGTGACGATGCGGACGGCCCCGAGCCCGACGCCGACCGCGACGCCGATGGCGACCGCGATGCGCAGGCCCCAGGGCCTGATCGTCCCGCCCGAGACGGCGGCGGCCTTGTGGGCGACGGCCATGAGCGAGGGCTCCGCGATGGTCGTGCCGAAGCCGATGGCGGCCGCAAACGCGTAGACCCAGCCGTAGTCGAGCCAGTGCGCGGTTGCGCCCTCGGCGAGGCCGAGGAAGGCCGGGTCGGTCAGCTGTGCCGCCATCGTCTTGCCGAGGGGAAGAGCGCCTCCTCCAGCCCGATGAGGAAGAGTACGAGCCCGATCACGACATAGACGAAGCCGACGGTGATCCGACCGAGATTCGCCGGGCGCCGGCGCAGGACGACGATCTGGAAGAAGAGCACGAGGCCGATCAGCGGTGCGACGTCCAGCACCGTATCCATGCCGGCCGACAGATATGAGGGAAATCAGCTCCAATGCGCCGCCTTTCAGAACACCATGCCGAAGACGAGCACGAAGATGATGGGCGTGAGGCTCGCGTAGGCGATGAGGCCGAAGCCGTCGATCAGCGGGTTGCGCCCGCGGATCGCCGTGGCGAGACCGACGCCAGCGCCGTCACCATCGGCACGGTGATGGTGGACGTCGTAACCCCGCCGGAATCGTAGGCGATGCCGACGATCTCGTCCGGCGCGAGGAAGGTGAGGCCCACCGCGACGACGTAGCCGCCGATGATCCAGTAGTGGAGCGGCCAGCCCTTGATGATGCGGAGCACGCCGAGCGTGATGCCGACGCCGACCGAGAGCGCGACCGTGTAGCGCAGCCCGAGCGCATAGGCATCCATGGCGTCGGGGTCGGCGGCGACGACGCCGGCGTCGGCGGCGACCCGGGCGGCCTCCGCCGTGACGGCGATCAGCGCGGGCTCCGCGACGGTGGTCCCGAAGCCGAGCGCGAAGGCGAAGACGAGCAGCCAGATCAGGCTGCCCTTGTGCGCAAACCCTGGGCCAGCCCCTCGCCCAGCGGGAAGAGGCCCATCTCCAGCCCCTTGATGAAGAGCGCGAGCCCCAGCATCACGAGCACAAGCCCGCCGATCATGCCGCCGAGATCGGGAAACGGCTGGCGCAGGATGGCAACCTGAAAGACGGCGACCACGACGACGATCGGGGCGAGATCGCGAAGCGTGCCGAGCACGAGGCCGGCAATGGAGAGAAGGCCCGCCGCCGTCCGATTCTTCTTCAGACGGGCAAGTACGCGCTGCGCTTGACGACCAATCTTGGTGTCTACGTCAGCCGGCGCATTCATTGCGACTCGGGCTCCGGTTCCTTTCGCCATATAAGCACATGGTCTCGGCACAAAAAGTCACCAGACCCCTGCTGATCCGGACCATATTGCGGGCGACGGAATCGAGATTGCAGCGTATTCCTGCTACGGTTGAATGACGGTGCTCGTCGCGCCGGCAGAAACTATGGGCCGACAAGCGGCGGAACGGCGGGGGAGACCATGGGGATCGACATCAACTGCGACATGGGCGAGGCCTACAGCATCTATACCTGCGGCGACGACGAGGCGATCATGCCCTACATCACCTCGGCCAACGTCGCCTGCGGCTTTCATGCCTCGGACCCGGGCGTCATGCATGCGACCGTCGTGCTCGCCAAGGAGCACGGCGTGAAGGTGGGGGCTCATCCGTCGTTCCCCGATCGGGACGGCTTCGGCCGGCGCTACATGAAGATGGACCGCAAGGAGCTGCGCGACGCCATCATCTACCAGTGCGGCGCTCTCAAGGGCTTCCTCGAGATGGAGGGGATGACCCTCAACCACCTGAAGCCGCACGGTGCGCTCTACGGCGCCGCCTGGATCGACGAAGACGTGGCGACCGCCTGCGCCGAGGCGGCACAGGTCTTCGGCGTGCCCATGTACGGCACGACCGGCACCATGCACGAGACGATCTGGCCCAAGTACACGGACGTCGTGTGGGAAATCTTCGCCGACCTCGACTACGACGACGAGGGCCGCTGCATCATCACCCGCGAGCACAAGTCGGTGGCGCCCGAACAAGCGGTCGAGCAGATCATGCGCGTGGTCAAGGACGGCGTGATCCGCTCGGTCAACGGCAAGGACGTGCCGACGAAGGCGGAGACGATCTGCGTTCACTCGGACACGCCGAGCGCGGTCGCCGTCGCCAAGGCGGTGCGCCAGGCGGTCGACCCTTACATCGAACGGAACGGAGGATGAGCACGGTGGCAACACAGGCGGGCGCCGGGGCGAGCGCCGATATCCGCGCTTCGAATTCCGGCATCATCCAGGCCTACCGGGCGAAGACGCCGGGCTCGGCGGCGCTCGCGGCCGAGGCCAGGGAGCTCCTTCCTTCCGGCATCGTCCACGATGCACGCCATCTGGAGCCTTACGGCATCTACGTCACGCGGGCCGAGGGTTCGCGCAAGTGGGACCGGGACGGCAACGAGTATGTCGATTACGCCGGCGGCCATGGCGCTCTGCTGCTTGGCCACGGCCGGCCGGAGGTCTTGCCGCCATTCAGGACGCAGTGCCGGACGGCACGCACCCGGCGCCAACCACGAGCGCGAAGTCCGCTGGGCGCAGATCGTGCGCGAGCTTGTGCCGTGCGCGGAGCGGGTGCGCTTCACCTCCTCCGGCACCGAGGCGACCCACATGGCGCTCCGCCTCGCCCGCGCCCATACCGGCAAGAACAAGATCGTGCGCTTCAAGGGTCACTTCCACGGCTGGCACGACCACATGACCTCCGGCTACACCTCGCACTTCGACGGGGCGCCGACGGCGGGCGTGCTGCCCGACCTCGCAGCCCAGGTGATCCTGCTGCCACCCGGTGATCGGGAAGCCACGCGCGCCGCCTTCGAGGGCGACGACGATATCGCGGCGGCGATCCTGGAGCCGACCGGTGGCTCCTTCGGCCTCGTGCCCCATGTGCCGGAGTTTCTCGGCTTCCTGCGGGAGCTGACGGCGAAGCACGGCGCGGTGCTGATCTTCGACGAGGTGGTTACCGGGTTCCGCGTCGCCCCCGGCGGCGCGCAGGGGTATTTCGGCGTCACCCCCGACATGAGCACCCACGCCAAGATCATCGCCGGCGGCCTGCCGGGCGGCGCCGTGGCCGGGCGCAGGGAAATTCTCGACGACCTGGATTTCTATGCGACCAGGGAAAGCGGGCGCGAGAAGATCTTCCATCCCGGTACTTTCAATGCAAACCCCGTCTCCGCCGCCGCCGGCACGGCCGCGCTCACCATCGTGCGGGATTCGGACGCCTGCGAGCGGGCATCGGCCTTCGGCGCGGAGCTCAGGGCCGCGCTCAACGGCGTGTTGGAAGCGGAAGGCGTGCCCTGGTCGGTTTACGGCACCTTCTCCGCCTTCCACCTCTTCATGAACCCGCGCGGGCGCGCGATCCGGCCTGCTTCCTTCGATCCCCTCGACATCGACTATGCGGAGCTCAAGGATCGCCCGCCGGAGCTGGTGAACAAGGTACGCCTCGGCCTGCTGGTGAACGGCGTGGACATCCAGGGCTGGCCCGGCGGCGTGACGTCGGCTGCCAACACGGCGGACGACATTTCGGTCACCGCCGACGCCTTGCGCGAGACGATCCGCATGTTGCGCCGCGAGGGGGAGCTCTAGCCGGAACGCCCAGGCGCCCTGCGGCTCCGGCCAGCGCGGCCTCGGCGAGCGGCCCTCGGCGCGGGAGCACGAATGGACACGCTCGAACGTTTCGCCGAAGCGAAGCTGGCTGCGCTCTCGGAGCAGCAGCTGCGCCGCACCCTCCACGAGACCGCGCCCTGCGGACCCGTCCGGGTCAAGCGGAACGGGCGCCCGCTGATCTCGTTCTGCAGCAACGACTACCTCAACCTGTCGCAGCACCCGGCGGTCAAGCGGGCGGCGGTCGAGGCCACCGAGCGCTGGGGCGCCGGAGCCGGCTCGTCGCGGTTGGTAACGGGCAACCATCCCCTCTTCGCGGAGCTGGAGCGCCGCCTGGCCCGGCTCAAGGGCACGGACGACGCCTGCGTCTTCGGCTCAGGCTACCTCGCCAACCTCGGCATCGTTCCGACCCTTGTCGGCGCCGGCGACCTGATCGTCGCGGACGAATTGAGCCACGCGTGCCTGCGCGCGGGCGCGGCGCTTTCGAGGTCGCACGTGGAGATCTTCCGTCACAACGACCTCGACCATGTGGAGGACCTGTTGGCGACCCACCGCGCCAGCCACGAGCGCGCGTTGCTGCTGACCGACGGCGTGTTCAGCATGGACGGCGACCTCGCACCGGTCGCGGCGCTCGCCGAGATCGCGGCGGCCCACGACACATGGTTGATGACGGATGATGCCCACGGATCGGCGTGGTCGGCGGCGGGCGCGGCTCGAGTTTTTGCGGCGGCGCCAAGACCGAGGTGCCGCTGCAGATGGGCACGCTGTCGAAGGCGGTCGGCAGCTATGGCGGCTATCTCTGCGCGTCGCAGGCGGTGATCGACCTGATCCGCACCCGGGCGCGGCCCTTCATATACTCCACCGGCCTGCCGCCAGGCGTGGTTGCGGCAGGCATCGCGGCCCTGGACCTGATCGCGAACGATCCCGGCCTGGTGGCGGCGCCGCTGCGCAAGGCGGCCTTCTTCTGCGCCCGCCTCAACCTCCCGGCGCCGGAGAGCTGCATCGTGCCGATCCTGCTCGGTGAGCCGGAGCGCGCCCTCGCTGCATCGCGGCTGCTGGAGGATGAGGGCTTTCTCGTCACCGCAATCAGGCCGCCGACGGTGCCGGAGGGCACGGCGCGGCTCCGCCTCACCTTCAGCGCGGGCCATGACGATGCCGACATCGAGTGGCTGGCCGACATCGTGCGCGAACGCATCCTCGATCATGACGAGCGATGAGCACGCTCTTCGTCACCGCCACGGGCACCGAGATCGGCAAGACCTTGGTCACCGCTGCGCTCTGCCATGAGCTTCGCGCGGCGGGCCGCCCGGTACGCGCGCTCAAGCCGGTGCTCAGCGGCTACGATCCGGCGACGCTCGCTGACAGCGACCCCGGCGTCCTCCTCGCGAGCTTGGGCGAGGCGGCGAGCGAGGAGGCGGTCGCCGCAATCACGCCCTGGCGCTTCAGTGCGCCCCTCTCGCCCGACATGGCGGCGGCCCGCGAGGGTCGCCGCCTCGACCTCGCGGAAATCCTCGCCTACTGCCGCGCCGCCGAGGGCGACCCGCTGCTGATCGAGGGCATCGGCGGGGCCATGGTGCCGCTCAACGAGCGGCACACCGTGCTCGACTGGATCGCGGAACTCGGCGCGCCTGCGTTGGTGGTGACGGGCAGCTACCTCGGCACCATCAGCCACACGCTCACGACGCTCGCAGCCATACGCGGCGCGACATTTCCGTCGCCGGACTGGTCATCAGCGAATCTGCGGAAAGCCCGGTGCCCCTGGCCGAGACGGCGGAGACCATCAACCGCCACGCGGGGCCGCTGCCCACCGTTCTGGTGGCGCGCCTCCCCAATGGCCCCGCTCCCTGGCGCGAGGCCCCGCCGTTCGCGCGTGCGCTGGGCCTCCTGGACGCCTGAGGACGTTCCTTCTCCCACCCGTCAAGAAACCCCGGTCTCGAAGGGGATTACATCGCGATCCGGTGCGAGGAGCGCCGAACGGATCACCACGGCATGACTTGCAACGCATATGAATCGATACGTGCGTCATATGATATGGCGGCATATCGGCTGTGATTGACTGTCAGTGTCGCGAGTGCGAGCCTAGCGAACTGACGCTTGGTCAGTCGGTCGACAGCGCGCTTCCCGACTCTCGACCGGTTGCTCGTTGCCTTGTTTGGCCACCGGTTGGGAAGTGCAGGAGAGGATATGAGGCAGTCGCGACAGCTCTCGCTTTAGCCCGCATTGAGAGCCGGCCTATATGGAACGTCGCCAAACGGGGCACCTGCGAGACCGGCAGAGGAGCGGTATCGCAAACGGTACTCGTGCGGAACCCTCGGAGACCGATCCGAGCAGCGTCCCAAAGCAGCGCGCGCGCGATTCGCTACGGCCTCGGGCTCTTGCTTGTTGCGTTGTGCGTCGGTCTTGCGGCAGCGCTCTTCCTGACCATAGGGAGTGCGCATGCCGATGTCTTCCTGGTGGGCGCCAACGCGGCGTTTTGACACGTCGGCACAACGGCCTGCTTCCGAACCGTCAGAGAAAGCGGTTGGCGGCCGGGAAATCCGCGCGGCGCCGCACGCCCGGCCTGGCCGCGCTTGCCGCGCCATTGGTCGAGCGCGGTCTCTGTGCGCACGCCGGCGCCGGAGCGCCAGCGCAGTCCTTCGGCACCGTCGAAGACCTGCGCGTCCGAGAGCGCGGCATCGCGGAAGCGCTGCAAGATCACGCCGCGGCCCCGCGCCATGGTCGGCACCTCAGCGGCGGGGAAGAGCAGCAGGCGCCGGTTGCTGCCGACGACCGCGACCGTATCGCCGGCCGCCTCGACACAGACCGCGGCCTCCGCTCCCTGCGCCACGTTGAGCACCTGCCGCCCGGTGCGGGTCTGGGCGACGGCATCGTCCTCGGAGACGAAGAAGCCGCGCCCGTCGCTCGCCGCCACCAGCAACAGCCGGCCGGGACGGTGAACGAAGAGCGCGACCGGCTCGTGATCGTTGCCGAGGTCCACCATGAGGCGCACGGGCTCGCCGAAGCCGCGCCCGCCGGGGAGGCGATCCGCCGCGAGCGTGTAGAAGCGCCCGTTGGTGGCGAAGAGCAGCAGCTTGTCGGTGGTCTCGGCGTGAAAGCGGAAGCGCTCGCGGTCGCCATCCTTGTAGCGCACCGCCGTGTCGTCTTCGGCATGGCCCTTTACCGCGCGAATCCATCCCTTGGCCGAGCAGGTCACCGTGACCGGCTCACGCTCCACCAGCGCCTCCACGGGGGACCGTCTGCGGCGGGGTCGCCCCGCCAACGGCGGTGCGGCGTGCGCCGAGCACAGTCTCCTGCCCGAAGCGCTCCTTGATTTCTGCGATCTCGGCGAGGAGCACGGTCTTCTGCCGGCGTGCGCTCTTCTCGAGTTTTTCGAGCTGAGCGCGTTCGACCTCCAGCGCCTCGTGCTCGCGCCCGATCGCCGCCTCCTCGAGCCTGCGCAGCGCGCGCAGGCGCATGTTGAGGATCGCTTCCGCCTGCACGTCGCTGATCCCGAACGCGGCCACCAGCGCCGCCTTGGGCTCGTCCTCCTCGCGGACGATGCGGATCACCTCGTCGAGGTTGAGGTACGCGACCAGATAGCCGCCGAGCACATCGAGTCGGTGGGCGATCGCCGCCAGCCGATGGGCGGTACGTCGCAACAGGACCGTGCGCCGATGGTCGAGAAACGCCTGAAGCACCTGCTTCAGCGTCATCACGCGGGGAACGCCCGCCGCATCCAACATGTTCATGTTGAGCCCGATGCGGTTCTCCAGCTCGGTCTGGCGGAACAGCATCTCCATCAAGAGCTCCGCCTCGACGGTGCGGCTCTTGGGCTCGAGCACGATCCGCACGTCCTCGGCCGATTCGTCGCGGACGTCGGCGAGCAGGGCGAGCTTGCGGGCCTGGAGGAGCTCGGCGATGCGCTCGATGAGGCGCGCCTTCTGCACCTGATAGGGAATCTCGGTGACCACGATCTGGTACTGGCCGCGGCCGATGTCCTCCTTCTCCCAGCGAGCACGGACGCGAAAGCCGCCGCGCCCCGTGGCATAGGCGTCTGCGATCTGCGCGCGGGCTTCCACCAGCACGCCACCCGTGGGGAAGTCCGGTCCCGGCACGAGCGTCACCAGCGCCTCGTCGGAGAGCCTTGGGTCCTTCAGCAACGCAGTGAGCGCGTCGCAAAGCTCGCCCGCATTGTGGGGCGGGATACTGGTGGCGAGGCCGACGGCGATTCCCGCAGCCCCGTTGGCGAGCAGGTTGGGAAAGGCTGCCGGCAGCACCACCGGCTCGCTGTCGCCGCCGTCGTAGGTCTCGCGGAAATCGACGGCGTCCTCGTCGAGGCCGTCGAGCAGGGACTGCGCGACCTCGGTGAGGCGCGCCTCGGTGTAGCGCATCGCCGCGGCGTTATCGCCATCGACGTTACCGAAATTGCCTTGGCCTTCGACCAGCGCGTAGCGCGCGGCGAAGGTCTGGGCGAGCCGCACCAGCGCGTCGTACACCGCAGAATCGCCGTGGGGATGGTACTTGCCGATCACGTCGCCCACCACGCGCGCGCACTTCTTGAAACCCGCGTCGGGGTCGAGCTTCAGCGCCCGCATGGCATAGAGAAGGCGGCGCTGGACCGGCTTGAGCCCGTCACGCACGTCGGGCAGCGAGCGCGCGGTGATGGTGGAGAGCGCGTAGGCGAGGTAGCGCTCGCTCAGCGCATCGCTGAGCGGCACTGGGAGGACCGCGCCTTCCGTCGCGATGTCGTCTGCGATTCGCGCCATAGCCAGCGCTATAGCACAGGCAGCATGCCGTTTATGATTCTTGCCTCACCTGCGCAGCCGGCGACGAGGTCGCGCCAGTCTGCAGGCGATCGATGAAGCGCTCCCTGGCGGGCGGCATGCGGCCGCCCTGGCCGCCGAACACGTGTTTCTCCAGGAACCATCCGGTCAGCCTGAGGCCCGCGACGATGTCGGCGGCAGTGGCAGAGGCGGTGTCGCCCTCCGACAGTGCAAGGAAGGGTGGCAGCGGGAGCAACTTCTCCACATAGGGCGCGCCGGCTTCACGCGTTACCGCCCGCCCGCTACGCGGCGACACATAGGCCAGCCCCTCGACCGCGCCGGTCGCCGCGCAGGCCGAGAGGTCGAGGCCGAAGCCGAGCTCGCCGAGCAGCGCGAGTTCATAGCGGACCACGGTCTCAGCCCAACGCTCGTTCGCTTCGAGGGCGTCGAGCAGATGCCCGAGGGCGCGGTAAACCTGTGGATAGGGATGCCTCTCCGCCAACGTCGCCTCTGTCAGCGCGCAGACGGCGGCGAGCGCCGCAAGACGGGGCGGATCGTCCAGCAGCACGCTTGATTGTGCGCGCACGAGCTCGCATGTGTAGCGCCCGAGATGCTCGGCGAGGCGCGCCTGCCAGCGTGCCGCGAGCGTGTTGCCCGGCTGGTAGAGCCCGCGCCCCCGGCGGCCGCGCGCGCCCTGCACGAGACCGGCATGGCGGCCGTGATGCTCGGTCAGCAGCGAGACGACGGCGGCGCTCTCGCCATGGCGGCGGGCGGAGAGGACGATCCCCGTATCGCTCCATTCCATGCCGCCTGCCTCCCAATCGGTGCCGGTGACGCGCCCGGGCCGAAACACTGCCGCGCGCCCGGCGCGCTTGCAACGCGTCCGTCCCTCCGCCAATATCGGTGCCGCTCTGGGGGAGCCGTGCGCGGCTGAGAGGTCGGACCCACCCCGACGACCCCTTGAACCTGATCCGGTTAGGACCGGCGTAGGAAACGAGACATGACCCCACCAGAACACCCACACTCCGAGTCGGACCACGCCGTCCGCGTTGAAGGCGCACGATTCGGATTCGAGGGCACGCTCCTCTTCGACGGCCTGGAGCTCGCCTGGAGCGAGGGCCGGTGGACCTGCCTTCTGGGTCCGAGCGGCGTCGGCAAATCGAGCCTGCTGCGGGTCATCGCGGGCCTGGAGCGGCTGGAAGTCGGGCAGCCTGAGCATCCTGAGCGGTGCGTCGGTCGCCTACATGGCGCAACAGGACCTGCTGATGCCGTGGCTCAGCGCGCTCGGCAACGTCTCCCTCGGCGCCCGCTTGCGCGGCGAGAAGCCCGACCGGGCGCGCGCGCTCGCCATGCTGGATCGCGTGGGCCTGGGCGCCGAGGCCGATGCGCTCCCGCATACGCTCTCCGGCGGAATGCGCCAGCGGGTGGCGCTTGCCCGCACCCTGATGGAAGACCGGCCCATCGTCCTGATGGACGAGCCGTTCTCGGCCCTCGACGCGATCACGCGGATGCGACTGCAGGAGCTTGCCGCCGGCCTGCTCGCCGGGCGCACGGTGCTGCTGGTGACCCACGACCCGCTGGAGGCGCTAGGCTGGGGGATCGCATCTACGTCATGGCCGGCAGGCCGGCCTCGCTGCACAGCGCGCCCGCGCCGGACGGTCCCCCGCCCCGGAAGCCCCGCGACCGGTCCTTGCAGGCGATGCATGCAGAGCTGCTGGAACGGCTCACGGCGGCCGACGATGCCGGGGCCGACCGGCGGCCCACGTGATGGCGGCGGCCCGGAATGCACGCCCTCAGGCTAACGACGGTCTGCGGCCTTCTGGTCCTGGTCTGGCAGGCGGTCGTCTGGCTCGCCGAGACTCCCCACTACATCCTGCCGGGGCCGGCGCGGGTGGGTGCGACCTGGTGGCACCATGCCGGGCTGATCCTGAGCCACGCCCAGACGACGGTGCTGGAAATCGTCTTGGGCCTCGTCCTCGGCACGCTGCTGGGCGTCGTCAGCGCCCTGGTGCTCACCTATGTCCGGCCGGCGCGGCTCTGGCTCCTGCCGGTGCTGGTCGCGTCCCAGGCGGTGCCCGTCTTCGCGCTGGCGCCGATCCTCGTTCTCTGGCTCGGCTACGGGATCGCGTCGAAGGTCGCGATGGCGACACTCATCATCTACTTCCCGGTGGCCGCCAACTTCTTCGACGGGCTCCGGCGGACCGAGCCGGGCTGGCTCGATCTCGCGCGTGCCATGGGCGCGAGCCCGTGGCGGACGCTCTGGCGCATCCGCGTGCCGGCGGCCTTGCCCGCATTGGCCTCCGGCGTCCGCGTCGCCGCTGCGGTGGCACCTATCGGCGCCGTGGTGGGCGAGTGGGTGGGCTCGAGCGCCGGCCTCGGCTTCCTCATGCTGCACGCCAACGGGCGTATGCAGATCGACCTGATGTTCGCCGCGCTGCTCACCCTCGCGGTCTTCGCCGTGGCGATCTACTTCATCATCGACCACGTGCTGCGCCGGGCCCTTCATTGGCAACCGGACACGTGAGCTTTCAACAGGGAGGATGACACATGCGAAGAATTGCCAAGACACTCCTGGTGGCGGCGACCTTGTGCCTGGCTGCGGCCGTGTTCGCCCCCAAACCTTCCGTCGCGGCCGACAAGCTCACCCTGATGCTCGACTGGTTCATCAACCCCGACCACGCACCCCTCTTCGTCGCGCTGGAGAAGGGCTACTTCGCGGATGAGGGGATCGAGGTCGAGCTCATCGCGCCGGCCGACCCCAATGACCCGCCCAAGCTGGTCGCCGCCGGCAAGGCGGACCTCGCAGTCTCCTACCAGCCGCAGCTTCACCTGCAGGTGGCCGAGGGGCTGCCGCTGGTGCGGATTGCGACGTTGGTAGCGACCCCACTGAACACGCTGCTGGTGCTCGCCGACGGGCCGGTCCAGTCGATCGCCGACCTCAAGGGCCGCACGGTCGGCTACTCGGTCGGCGGCTTCGAGGACGCGCTGCTCGGCGCCATGCTCGAGCGCCACGGCCTCGGGATCGAGGACGTGACGCTGGTCAACGTCAACTTCTCGCTCTCGCCGTCGCTGCTCTCGGGCCAAGTCGATGCCGTGATCGGCGCCTACCGCAACTTCGAGCTCAACCAGATGGACATCGAAGGGCACACCGGCCGCGCCTTCTATATCGAGGAGGAGGGCGTGCCCCCCTATGACGAGCTCATCGTCGTCGCCCATACCGACGGCAAGGCGACCCGGCGATGCGGCGCTTCGTCGATGCCCTGGAGCGCGGCGTCCAGTTCCTCATCAACCACCCGGACGAGTCCTGGCAGCTCTTCCTGCGCGGCCGCGAGGAGCTCGACGACGAGCTCAACAAGCGCGCCTGGCGCGACACGTTGCCGCGCTTTGCGCTGAGGCCCGCGGCGCTCGATACCGCGCGATACGAGCGCTTCGCGGCCTTCCTCCAGGCCCAGGGGCTGATCCCCGAGGCGCTCCCCGCCTCGGCCTACGCGGTGGAGCTGGACTAGCCCCGGCCCGCTACGCCGATTCGCGCGGCAAACGCGAGCACGGCACGGGCGAGAGCCTGCTTCTCCCGTGCGCGCGGTCATCATCGTGGCCGTGACCTCGACCGCGACGCCGGATGCGGCGATCCCTGACGCCAGCGTACTGTCCGCCTCGTCGAGCACGAGCCCGTCGATCAGCCCGTCGTAGTGCTCGGCGATCGCCGCGGCGCTCGGCGCGATGCCGCGCTCTGCCATCATCTTGGCCGTCGGCCCCTTGACCGCCTGCCCGCCGATAATCGGGGAGACGGCGATCACCGGCGCCTCGCAGGCCGTGAGTGCTGCGCGCACCCCGGGGACGGCGAGGATCGGGTCGATGCTGATGTAGGGGTTCGACGGGCAGATGATGACGGCGCCGAGATCGGGCGTCGCGAGCGCATCGAGGAAAGCGCTAGATGCGCGGGCCTTATCGGCCCCCTCGTGGCGAAAGCCCAGCGCCTTCGGCCGGCAGCGCTCGCGGACGAAATAGTGCTGGAAGGCGAGCGGGCCTTCCGGCGTCTCGACGACGGTTGGCACCGGATCGTCGCTCATGGGCACGATGTGCGCCTGGATGCCGAGCCTCGCGCACAGTGCAGCCGTGACCGCGCTCAGGCTCTCGCCCGCCCGCAGCCGCCGGGTCCGCTCGACATGGATGGCGAGGTCCTTGTCACCGAGGAAGAACCAGGTCTCACCGCCGAGGGCGCCAAGGGCCTCCATGAAGGCGCCGCTCTCCCCTGCCCGCCCCCAGCCGGTCTCCGGATTCGCGAGCCCTGCGAGGGTGTAGGTGAGCGTGTCGAGATCGGGGCAGACCTTGAGGCCGAGATGCTCGAAGTCGTCGCCGGTATTGGCGACGATGGTGAGCCGGGCGGGGTCGTCAAGCACGTCGCAAAGCCCGAGAGCGAGCTTGGCGCCGCCGACACCGCCGGAGAGCGCCACGTAGCTGGCGCTCATGACGGAGCCCGAGCGTAAGCGCCGCGCACCTAGCGGAAGAGGTCATCGGCCTCGTCGCGGATGAGGGCGGCGCCGGCGTTCCCCGGCCCTGCGGCGGCAAGCCCGCGCACCACCACCACCGGCATGCCCTCGTCGGCCTCGCCCTGGAGCAGCGAGGCGGCGGCGGCGAGCTCGTCCGCCAGCGCCACCTGGGTGACCTCCAGCGGGCGGCCGAAGAGATCGTCGCGCCCCCTCAAGTCCAGCAGGGAGGGCAGCCCGGCAGCGCCGAGCGCGAGGCCCACGGTGCCCACCCGCCAGGCCCGGCCCACGCTGTCGTTGACGATGACGGCGCAATCCGCGCCGAGCCGCTCACGCAGCCCCTCCCTGATACGCCGCGCGCTGCCGTCTGGATCGCGGGGAAGCAGCAACACCCGCTCGTCGGTACCCGCCGGCTCCACGTTGGAATTGTCGATGCCAGCGTTCGCCATGACGAAGCCCAGCCGATGCTCGACGATGATCACGCCGGGGCGATGACGGACCACCCGCCGCGATTCGCTCAGGATGAGTTCGACCATGCGCGGGTCCTTGGCCGTGCGCGCGGCAAGCTCGCGCGCCTCGGCACCGGGCTCGACCGTGGCGAGGTCGGCGTAGCGCCCCTCGCTCTTGGAGACGATCTTCTGCGCGACCACGAGGACATCGCCTTCGGCAGCGGCCTCGCCGGCGCGCGCGAAGCCGTCCGCGATCAGAGCCGGAAGGTCGTCGCCGGGCTGGACCATGGGGATGCCCGGCAACGCGAAGAGCGAGAGCGCGCGGGGACGCGCAGGACCGCGCGGTCATCGCTGCGCGCCGCCTCCGCCGGCCGCGCTCCAGCTCGTGACCCGCTCGATCCTGATCGCGATCACCGGAAGCGGCGCCAGGTCCATCGCGCGGTACTGCGCGTGCTTGGCGCGGAGGAGCCTGTGCGCGGCGGCATGCTCGGCACCCTCCTCCAGCAACGCCGCCCGGCCACGCACCATGACCCAGCGAAGCCTCGTCCAGTCTTCATCGTCATAGTGATCGGCGGTGAGCGTGACGTGCGGGTTTTCGGCGATGTTGCGCAGGCGCTTCAGCGGCCTCCCACTCTTCGGCTTGCGGTCGATGGCGATATAGACGGAATCGCCTTCGATAGCGAAGCACACCGGCACAACGTGGGGAACGCCGGCCGCATCGGCCGTGGCAAAGTGGGCGACGCGCCGGCTTTCCAGGAAGGCGCGCTCGCCCTCTCCGAGGACGGCCGCCCTGCCCTCGCCCATGGGACCCCGCCGCCGGTGTTAGACGTCCGCGAGCGCCGCCTTGATCCGCCCGATGGCCTCGATGTGTGCGCCCGGTGAGGCGAGGCCCGAGTTCATCGTGTTGATCGAGAAGTGGGTGGCGCCGAGCGCCTTCCAGCCCTCCGCCTCGGCGCGCCACTGCTCGGGCGTTTTATCCTGCACGTCGAGCCAGGTCTCGATCCCGACCTCGGCCGGGTCGCGGCCGGCCTCGCGGATGTAGCTGCGAAACTTCTCGACCTCGGCCGCGCCTTCGTCGTCCGGCGCGAAGAGCGGGAACCACCCGTCGCCCAGCCGCGCGGTCCGCCGGAGGACGGAGTCGGCATGGCCGCCGAACCAGATCGGGATAGGCCGCTGGACCGGGAGCGGGTTCAGCCCGGCATCGGTGATGCGGTGGTCCTGCCCCTCGAAGGTTATGAGCTCGTTGGTCCAGAGCAGCCGCATGACCTCGATCTGCTCCTCGATGCGCCGCGCGCGGTCCCCGAAATCCATGCCGAGCGCTTCGTATTCCACATGATTCCAACCGATCGCCACGCCGAGCCGGAGCCTGCCGCCGCAGAGCACATCGAGCGCCGCCGCCTGCTTGGCCACCAGCGCGGTCTGGCGCTGCGGCAGGATGATGATGCCGGTGACGAATTCCATCCGCTGGGTGACGGCGGCGAGAAAGCCGAACAGCACGAACGGCTCGTGAAACGAGTCGGTGTGCTTGTAAGGCCCCCGGAGCTCGTGCGTCGCGGCATTGCCGCCCAGCACGTGGTCGAAGGCGAGCACGTGTTCGTAACCCAACGCTTCGGCCGCCTGCCCATAGTCGCGCACGACCGCGGGATCGTTGCCGATCTCGGTCTGCGGAAAAACGACACCAAGCTTCATTCGGAGCCTCCTTCGATCACGGTTGTGCGCGGCCGGCGCGGCCACGGCGCGGCATGCTATCATGCATCGTTAGCGCGGCATCCTCGGACCTCGGCGGAGTGGCCGCGCACCGGCAGGGCAAAGGAGAGACGGAATGGCGGATAGCGACACGTGGCGCGGCAAAGTCGGCGGCATGACCGACGAAGAGGTCGATGAATTCCTCAAGGGGCCCCACCTCTGCCGGCTTGCCTGCCTCGACGAGGAGGGTTGGCCCTATATCGTGCCGCTCTGGTATCAGTATCGCGACGGCGGCTATTACGTCATTCCGCGCGCGCGCTCCGTCTGGGCCAAGCACATCCAGCGGGATCCTCGGATCAACATCTGTGTCGACATCTGGCCGTCGATGCAGAAGGTGATGGCCAGGGGGAAGGCCGAGATCGTCGAGGAGCCCAATACCGGCGGCAAGTGGGTCGAGATCGCGACCGAGATGTCGCTGCGCTATCTCGGCGAGAACGGCCCGAAGTACCTGGAGCCGACGCTGGTAGAGCCCCGCTGGCTCATCTTCATGCGACCCGATTCGCAGATGACCTGGCAGGGCGTGGACTGGGCCAACCGCTACAAGCACACGGCGTGGTAGCCGCGGCCAACGGCACGCACCGGCCGGAGCCAGCGGCTGGTCCTTAGCGCGCCGCAGCGCACCGGCATCCAAGTAGACAAAAGGGCCGATGACCGGCGACGCCGAAAGCCGGGCGCACGCCGCCGCGGGAGCCGCCCCGAAGATCGGCGCGCGCGCGGTCGCCTACCTGCTGTTCGCGGGCGCGCTCTACGGCCTGCTCTTCTCGATCAACAAGGTCGCGACGACCAATGGGGTGCCGGGCCTCGCCTACGTCTTCTGGCACACGCTAGGGGCGGGGCTGATCCTGTGGCTCGTCTGTCTCGCGACCCGCACGCCAGTCGGCTTCGACCGCGCGCATCTGCGTCTCTATTTCGTCGCCGGCGCGCTCGGCATCTCGATCCCGGTATCCCTGCTCGCCCATGTGGCACCCAATCTGCCGGCGAGCCTCGTGGTCATGGTCACCTGCCTCTCGCCCACCTGCACCTATCTGATGGCGATGGCGCTCCGCATGGAGCGCTTCCGGCTGCTCAGCACCGGCGGGGTGGCGCTCGGCCTCGCCGGGATCCTGATTCTGGTGGTGCCGGGCATCACGTTGCCGAGCTTCGCCGAGGTGAGCTGGCTGCTGCTGGCGCTGCTGGCGCCGGTCTGCTTCGCCGCGTTCAACATCGCGGGCGCGATCTTGTGGCCGCCCAAGGCGCATTCGTTGGGGCTCGCGTGCGGTATCCAGCTCGGCGGCGCGGTCGTGCTCGTGCCCGTGATGCTCGGCACGGGCGAGACCTATCTCTTCCCCGGCCCCCTGCTCGCCGGCGATCTCGCAATCCTGGGCGCGACCGGGGTCACCGCACTGGTCTGGTACCTCATCTTCGAGATCCTCAGGCTGGGCGGCCCGCTCTTCCTCTCCCAATTCGGCTATATCGTGGTGCTGACGGGATTCGGCTGGGGGGCGGCGATCTTCGGCGAGCGCCTGAGCAACTCGGCCTGGATTGCGGCCGCCCTGCTTCTGGCGGGCCTCGCGGTGCTCACCTGGTCCAAGCGCCACAGGAGCGCCTAGCGGGTGTGGAAGGAAAGTGGATGACGATCAGACTGCTTCAGATCGACACCTTCACCGACCGGGTGCTGGGCGGCAATCCGGCTGCGGTCTGCCCCCTCGACGCCTGGCTGGACGAGGCGACGATGCAGGCCATCGCGGCCGAGAACAATTTGTCGGAGACCGCCTTCATGGTGCCGGAAGGCGAGGGCTATCGCTTGCGCTGGTTCACGCCCAATGTCGAGGTCGATCTCTGCGGCCACGCCACGCTCGCCGCCGCCTTCGTCGTGTTCGAGGAGCTGAGGCCGGGCACGGAGAGCGTCGCGTTCGAGACGCTGAGCGGCCGGCTCACGGTCACCCGCGACGGCGAGGCGCTCGTCATGGATTTTCCCGCCCAGCCGGCCAAGCCGACGCCGGCACCGGCGGTGCTCGCGCAGGCGCTCGGCACGGCGCCGGACGAGGTGCTCGCCGGCGCCGACTGGATCGCGGTGTTCGAGACGGCGGCGCAGGTTGCGGGCCTCAGTCCCGACCAGACGCTGCTGACGACCCTCGACCGGCGCGGCGTGGTGGCGACAGCGCCGGGCGACGAGGGCGACGCAGACTACGTGCTGCGCTTCTTCGCGCCCAAGAACGCCGTACCCGAGGACCCGGTTACCGGCAATGTGCAGACCGCGCTAGTGCCCTACTGGGCGGGCAGGCTCGGCAAGCGACGGCTCGCCGTGCGCCAGCTTTCGGCGCGTGGCGGGCGGATGGTGTGCGAGGATCGCGGCGAGCGGGTGTCGATCGCGGGCCGCGCGGTGCGCTACATGGACGCAACCATCTCGGTCGACGGCTAACGCTGAGCCGCGCCCCCGGTCGTTAGCCTGCGCAGTCCATGCAGCGGGCGATGGTCGGGTCGATGGCGAGGCGCTTGGCCGGAATCCGCTCTCCGCAGTCGACGCAGTAGCTGTAGTCGCCCGTATCGAGCCGGCGCAGCGCTGCATCGATGAGCGGCAGGCGCGCGCGGCGGCGCGCCTCCACCGTTTGCGCCATCGCCTGCACCTGCATGGCGTCCATGCGCGATACGCGGCCGACGCTCTGCTGATCGAGCGTGACCGGGCGCCGCTCGTCTGCCGCTGCGTCGCTCAGCGCAAGAAGATCGGCACGCTCCCGTTCGAGGCTCTCCCGAATCTTTTTCGGATCGCGCGTGGGGCGGGCGGTCATGGGCGGCGTTGGCGCATCACGGGGAGGATTGTAGACGATCGAGCGGAGCAATCGAAGGCGGCATACAAAGGCACGCATTTCTAGCGACGTCCGGGCGGCGCGCTTGACGCGCTCGCCTGCCCCGCCGCACCCTGCAAGGCGAGAGGAATAGAAGGGGGAAACCGATGGCGACCGGCGCAATCGTGGTCACCGGATCGGCGGGGCTGATCGGATTCGGCGTCGCGTCCCGGCTTGCGCGGGAAGGACGCACCGTGATCGGCACCGATCGTATCCAGCCGCGGGAGGACGGCGGGTTCCCCTCGACGGATGCGGAGCTTACCGACGTCCACAAGCTGCACGCGATCTGCAGCGGCGATGTCGCCGCGATCGTCCATTGCGGGGCGGTCTCTGGCCCCATGTTGGGCCGCGACAATCCGCGTGCGGTGATCGAGACCAACGTCGCGGGCACCGCCAATCTGCTCGAGATCGCCCGTCAGCGCGGCGTCCGCCTGGTGTTCTGCTCGTCGACATCGGCCTACGGCAACACGGCCGCCGGCCTCGATCCGGTGCCCGAGGATGCGCCGCTCGCGGCCGACGACATTTACGGCGCCACCAAGGCTTCCGGAGACATCCTCACACGCGCCTACGTGGCACAGACCGGCCTCGACGCCGCCGTGCTGCGTTTCTCCTGGGTCTACGGGCCGCGCCGGCGTACCACCTGCGTGGTGCGCGAGATGATTCAGGACGCGCAGGCCGGGCGGGCCACCGCGCTCCCCTATGGCAGCGGCTTCACGCGCCAATATGTTTATATCGACGATGTCGTGGGCGCCGTGATCGCGGCGCTCGGCACAGGCGAGTTCGGGTCGCAGCGCGCGTTCAACATCACCGGCGGCCAGCGCCTAGAGTTCGGGGAGATTGCGGACGCCGTCAGGCGCGCGCTGCCGGAGGCGCAGATCTCGCTTGGCGAGGGCGCCGATCCCGAAGACCAGAGCCACGGACGGTTCGACATCTCGGCCGCCGCGCGCGTCCTCGGCTGGCAGCCGAAGGTCGCGTTCGAAGATGGTGTGCGCGACTACGCACGCTGGCTCGCCGAGAACCCGGTGTAGGGCGTGCGCAGGCTCCGGGAGCCGGCGGCAACAACGAAACGACAGGAATCAGAGGGAGAATCGCCATGCCACGCGCAGCGGTCATCGTGCCGTTTCCCTTCGACGAGGAGGGCCTCGACTACAGGCGTGCCGAAATGGAGCAGGTCGAGCTCTCAGGCCAAGTCACCTTCGACTACAAGCCGCTCAAGGCAGGCCCGAAGCACTTCATCGGCCGCCATGACGAGATGCTGGTCGAATTTGCCATCTTCGAGGCGGGCATCGCTCTCGCCGAGGAAGGCTATGACGCCATCACGGTCAACACGCTGAGCGATTCCGGCGTCCCCGAGCTGCGCGCGGTGCTGGACATCCCGTGGTCTCGAACGGCAAGTCGTCGCTTCTCTACGCGCTCACCCTCGGCACCCGATTTTGCGTGATCGCGCAGACCGACCCAGCCTATCCGCAGTACACCGACGCTTGGCTCGCCTTCTACAAGAACCTGATGAAGAAGTTCGAGATCGCGCAGTTCTGCAGCTCGATCGAGCTGTTCGAGGCGCAATCGGACATGAAGGCACTGTTTTCCGGCCGCGAGGCGGAAGTCTTCCCCAAGATGAAAGGAGGCCTGCGAGAGAGGCCTCGCCAAGGGGGCCGACGTGATCGTTCTCGGCTCCACGACTCTCTCTCAGGCGGGGCCCTACCTCTCGGAGAACCTGCCTGTCCCGGTGGTCAATCCGGGACCGCTCTCGCTGAAGATGGTGGAGATGGTGCTCGGCCTCGGCCACTGCCACAGCCCGGTGGCGCATCCCAAGCCCGCCGTGCCCCGCCCGAAGATGATCCGCGCCATGCTGGACGCCGCTCGCGCCCATCAGGATGCCGACGATTAGCCGGCGCGGAGTCGCGGCAGGCGCATGAGCGAACCCTTGCCCAAGGGCGAAACGGCGGGCGCCGGTGGGCCGGCGGCCTGGGACGCCGGCCTTTACGACCGCTCGTTCGGCTTCGTCTCGGCCTTTGCCACGGACATGGTCGAACTGCTCGCGCCCGAGCCGGGCGAGCGGATCGTCGATCTCGGCTGCGGTACCGGCACGCTGACCGCGGCCATCGCCGCGCGTGGCGCCGATGTGATCGGCATCGACGGCGATAAGGCGATGGTCGAGCGTGCGCGTGCGCTTCACCCGACGCTGACGTTCGAGCATGCCGACGGGCGCGACTTCGCCATCGAGGGGCACGCCGACGCGGTCTTCTCCAACGCCGCCCTCCACTGGATGAAGGAGGCGCCGCCGCAGGTCATCGCCTGCGTGGCGCGGGCGCTCAAGCCCGGCGGCCGGTTCGTCGCCGAGATGGGCGCTCACCGCAACGTGCGGATCATCACCGACGCGCTTTACCAGGCGCTCGCCGAGGAAGGCGTCCCGGCCGAGGCGGTGGACTTCCCCTGGTATTTTCCGCGCACGAGCCACTATGTCGGCCTGCTGGAGGATGGCGGCTTCGACGTGACGCAGCTCTACTATTTCGCCCGCCCGACGCCGCTCGACGACTGCCCGAACGGCCTCGCCGACTGGATCGTCATGTTCGGCCAGAACTTCACCGACGCGGCACCGCTTGGCCGCGTGCCGGCGGTCATAGACCGCACGATTGAGCTCACCCGCGACCGGCTTCGCCCGGATGGCCGCTGGATCACCGACTACACGCGCCTTCGCTTCGTCGCCCGCCGCGTGGTTGAGGACTGAGCGCCACGGCTGCGAGCGAGCCGCCCCAATCTCGCCACATTGACCGCCTACGTCGGGCAGTGACAGACTTTAGGTCGATTCGCGGCAACCGCCCGAGTCTCCCCGAGCGATTGAGTAGAGCCCATGGCCGGTCATTCCAAATGGGCCAACATCATGTACCGCAAGGGCGCGCAAGACGCCCGGCGGGCCAAGCGGTTCACGAAGCTGATCCGCGAAGTCTACGTCGCGGCCAGAGAAGGCGCGCCCGACCCTGACCACAATTCCAGGCTGCGCACGGCCATCGCGGCGGCCAAGTCGCATAGCGTGCCCAAGGACAATATCGAGCGCGCGCTGAAGAAGGCGGCGGGCGGGGACGGCGGCCAGGAGCGCTTCGACACGCTGAGCTACGAAGGCTTCGGGCCCGGCGGTGTCGCCGTTATCGTCGATGCGATCACCGACAACCGCAACCGGACCGCAGCCGAGATCCGCTCGATCTTCAGCCGGCACGGCGGCACGCTCGGCGAGACGGGCTCTGTGAACTATCTGTTCCAACGTGTTGGGATCATTCGCTTTCCCGCGGACGCGGCGAGCGACGACGACATCTTCGAAGCCGCACTCGAGGTCGGCGCCGACGAGTGCGAGAGCGAGGCGGACGGGCACGAGGTGATTTGCGCGCCCGAATCCCTGAGCGAGGCCAACGAGGCGCTGACCGCGCGCTTCGGTGCGCCGGAGCGGGTCGAGATCGCCTGGCGCCCGCAGACGACAGTGCCGATCGACGAAGACAAGGCGGCGGCCGTCTTCAAGCTGCTGGAAGCGCTCGACGACAGCGACGACGTTCAGCAGGTATCGGCGAACTACGACGTGACCGACGATGTCCTGCACCAGCTCTCGGCCTGAGTGGAGGTGGGCAACGTGGCACGCGTCCTCGGTATCGATCCCGGTCTCCGCCGAATGGGCTGGGGCGTGATCGAAACCGTTGGCAACCGGCTGCGCCATATCGACCACGGCGTGGTCGATACCGATGCCAAGGCGAGCGTGCCGGAGCGTCTCTGCGCCCTGCACGAAGGGCTCGCGCAGGTCGTTGCGCGCCACGCGCCGGACGAAGCGGCGGTCGAGGAGAGCTTCGTCAACCGGAACCCCGACTCGACCCTCAAGCTCGGTCTCGCGCGGGGGCGTTGCCCTGCTCGTGCCGGCGCTCGCCGGTCTTCCCGTCCACGAGTACGCCGCCAACCGGATCAAGAAGGCGCTGGTCGGCGCCGGACATGCCGACAAGGAGCAGGTCGCCCTGATGGTCCGCCACCTGTTGCCCGGCCTCGGCGATGCACCTGCGGATGCCACGGACGCGCTCGCCGCGGCGATCTGTCACGCGCACGCCGCCGGCACCCACGCCCGCTGGCAGCCGGCCTCGGAGCCGGCAGCGGCGAAGCCCGGCCGATGATCGCGAAGCTGCGCGGGGCTCTCGACAGCATGGGCGACGGCTGGGCGGTCGTCGATGTGGGCGGCGTCGGCTATCTGACCTATTGCTCCGCCGGCACGCTGGCCTCGATGCCCGCGCGGGGGCAGGAGGTGAGCCTCACCGTCGAGACCGTGGTGCGCGAGGACCACATCCATCTCTACGGTTTCGCGAGCGAGCAGGAGCGAGACTGGTTCCGCCTGCTGCAAACAGTGCAGAGCGTCGGCGCGCGCCTGGCGCTCGCGATTCTGGGGGCCTTGCCTGCGGCGGAGCTCGCCGCCTGCATCGCTGCCCAGGACAGAGCGGGGCTCACGCGTGCGCCCGGGGTGGGGCCCAAGCTCGCGGCGCGCATCCTGAGCGAGCTCGCGGACAAGGCACCGGCCCTGCCGGGTGCGGTGCTCTCGCCCACGACCGCCGGCGGCACGGTAAACGCCGATGCAATTGCAGCTCTCGTCAACCTGGGCTACCGCCCGACCGAGGCCCACGGTGCCGTCTCAGGCGCAGCGCGTTCGCTCGGCGATGAGGCCTCCGTCGAGGCACTGATCCGCGCCGGGCTCAAGGAGCTCGCGCAGTGAGCGAGGCCCGGATTGTCGCCGGCGCGGCAGAGCCCGAAGACCGGATCGATAGCGGCCTCAGACCCCGCAAGCTCGACGACTTCGTCGGCCAGCGTGCAATACGAGAAAACCTGCGGGTTTTCATCACCGCCGCGGCCGAACGAGGCGAGGCCCTCGACCACGTGCTGTTCTACGGCCCGCCGGGCCTCGGCAAGACGACGCTGGCGCAGATCGTCGCACGCGAGCTCGGCGTCGGTATCCGCACGACCTCGGGCCCGGTCATCGCGCGCGCCGGCGACCTGGCGGCGATCCTGACGAACCTCAACGAACGCGACGTGCTGTTCATCGACGAGATCCACCGGCTCAACCCGGCGGTGGAAGAGATCCTCTACCCGGCGATGGAGGATTCGCAGCTCGACCTGATTATCGGCGAGGGGCCGGGCGCCCGTTCGGTACGCATCGATCTGCCGCCCTTCACCCTGGTTGGTGCGACGACGCGCACCGGCCTCATCACGACGCCCTTGCGCGAGCGCTTCGGCATTCCGCTCAGGCTCGACTTTTACGAAGTCCCGGAGCTGGTCGAGATCGTGACCCGCAATGCGAGGCTTCTCGACGTGACGCTCAGCGCCGATGGGGCGGCGGAGATCGCCGCCCGCTCCCGCGGTACGCCGCGCATCGCAGGCCGCCTGCTGCGCCGGGTGCGCGACTTTGCGGCGGTGGCCGATGTCGAGTTGATCGATGCCGGCATCGCAGACCGGGCGCTCAACCGGCTCGAGGTGGACCAGCGCGGTCTCGATTCGATGGATCGGCGCTATCTCGCCTGCATCGCCGAGAACTATGACGGTGGCCCGGTGGGAATCGAGACCATTGCGGCGGCGCTCTCCGAACAGCGCGACGGGTTGGAGGAGGTGATCGAGCCCTTCCTGATCCAGCAAGGCTTCGTGCAACGGACACCGCGTGGCCGGATGCTGACCCGGCACGGCTTCGGTCATCTGGGTCTGGCGCAGCCTGAGGAGGCACCGCGCCAACTCGCCCTGCTCGACGAAGGCCATGGCAACCGTTGAACCGGACACACCGGCGGCACCCCTCGGCGGCCGCTTCGAGGACGCGGAGCATGTCTATTCGCTCCGCGTCTATCATGAGGACACCGACGCCGGCGGCATCGTCTACTACGCCAACTACCTCAAGTTCGCCGAGCGGGCGCGGACCGAGTTGTTGCGCGGCGCCGGCATCACGCACGTCACACTGCTGGGGGACCACGATGCGGCGTTTGTCGTCAGGCGCTGCGTGGTGGACTACCGCCAGCCGGCGCGGCTCGACGACGCAATCGAGGTGCGCACGACCATCGGCAGGGTGGCGGGTGCGCATATCGACGCGGAGCAGCGTGTCGTGCGCGAGGGGGCACTGCTGGCCACGGTCGGCCTCAGGCTCGGCTGCGTCGGCCGCAACGGCCGCGCGGTACGCCTGCCAACGCCCTTGCGCCATGCGCTCTCTGGACTGGTGTCGGCGGATCAGCGGTAACGGGAGTAGCCATGGAATCCGACCTTGTTCGCGCCGTTGAGATCGGCGCCAGCGCAGTAGCCGAGGACTTCTCCCTCTGGGGCCTGTTCCTGCAGGCCGACGTCATCGTCAAGGCCGTGATCGTGGTCCTTCTGATCGCGTCGCTCTGGAGCTGGGCGATCATCTTCGACAAGAGCCTCCGCTATGCCCGCGCCCGCCGCCTCGCCGTCGAGTTCGAGCAGGCCTTCTGGTCCGGCGGCTCCCTCGATCAGCTCTACGACGATCTCTCCACGAAGCGCAGCCACCCGATGACCGTGCTGTTCGCCTCGGCGATGGACGAATGGCGCCGTTTCGCGAACCGCGGAACTCACCTCTCGGCGGACCGGCTGGAAGGCCTCCAGCGCCGTATCGCCTACGCCATGGATGCCGCACTCAACCGCGAGCTGGATCAGCTCGAGCGCTACCTCGGTTTCTTGGCCACGGTGGGGGCAACCGCGCCCTTCGTCGGCCTGTTCGGCACCGTCTGGGGCATTATGAACAGCTTTCAGTCGATCGCGGCGAGCAAGGACACCTCGCTCGCCGTGGTGGCGCCGGGCATCGCCGAGGCGCTGTTTGCGACGGCGCTCGGCCTGGTCGCCGCCATCCCGGCGGTGGTGGCCTACAACAAGCTCAGCAGCGACCTCGACCGCTATGCCGGCCGACTGGAGGCCTTCGGCACCGAGTTCCGGGCTCTTCTCGGCCGTCAGCTTGAGGAGCGCGCCGTCTGATGGCGGCCGAATGGGACGGGCCGTTCAACGGCCGCAGCCGAGGCGGGCGCGGGCGCCGCCGCCGCGCGCCCATGAGCCAGATCAACGTGACTCCGTTCGTCGATGTCATGCTCGTGCTTCTGGTGATCTTCATGATCACGGCGCCGCTGCTCACTGTGGGAGTCGAGGTCGATCTGCCCGAGGCCGACACGCCGCCGCTCGCCGGAGACGACGAGCCGCTCTCGATCACCATCACCCGCGACGGCACGACCTATCTCCAGGAAACCGAGATTGCGCTGGAGGCGCTGATCCCCAAGCTCAGGGCGATCACCGAACGCCGCCCCGACGTGCGCATCTTCATCCGCGGCGACCGCGACATCGCCTACGGGCGGGTGATGGAGGTCATGGGCGTTCTCAATGCCGCAGGCTTCAACAACGTTGCGCTGGTGACCGAGCCGCGCAGGTCAGTGAGCGATGAGTAAGCGCGGCTGGCTCTTCTCCGCCATCCTCCACGTCGGCGTAATCGTCGCCGTGGTGATGGGCTTGCCGGAAATGTTCGAAAGCGACGCGCTCGACCCCAGCGACCAGCCGATCGTGGTCAGCCTGGTCGAGATTGCCGATGAGGCGAGCGCGCCTGCGGCCACGCCCGAGCCTGAACCGGTTGTCGAGCCCGAGCCGGAACCCATTGCCGAGCCGGAACCCGAGCCGAGCCGAAGCCAGAGGTCATCGCCGCGCCGGAGCCGGAACCGATCCCCGAACCGGAGCCGATTCCCGAACCGGAGGTCGTCGCCGCGTTGGACCCCGAGCCCGTCGTCGAACCCGAGCCGGAGCCGGAGCCGCCTCCCCCACCCGAGCCGGTCTCGGAACCGGATCCGCCGCCCGCCCCGAAAGCGCCCGAAGCCAAGCCCGAGCCCGACCTGCACCCGAGCCGGAGCCGGAGGCGCCGCCGCCGGTGCCGCTGGCCAAGCCGCCTCCGAAGAAGCCGAGCTTCGACAAGCTGCTGAAAGACCTTGCCGAGGAAGAGGCCCCGGAGCCGCCCCAGGCGACACCGCCGGACGAAGAAGAGTCTTTCGAGGACCTGCTGGCCAGCATCGCAGGCACCGAGGAAGAGCCGCCCACCGAGGCCGCAACGCACGTGCCCTTGACGGGCCCTCTGCGCCAGACCATCACCGACGCCATCAAGCAGAAGGTCGAGAGGAATTGGAGCGTTCCGGCCGGTGTACTCGATGCCGGCGAGTTGGTAGTGACGCTCAGGATTCAGCTGGCGCCGGACGGTTCCGTCCGACGCGTTGAGATTGTTGACCCCGGCGGCGGCGGCAACTACCGGACCATGGCGGAAAGCGGGCGCCGTGCCGTGCTGAAGGCCAGCCCCTTCGATGCCTTGACGCGTTACGTCGACAAGTATGAAGGTTGGCGCGATATTACAATGACGTTCAGTCCGCCGGTGTAAGGCGCGAACCGCGCTTGGACCTGATCGAACTAAGGGAAACGATGGTGACACGATGAGACGATTGCTGACACTGAGTGGACACGTTACGCGCACGGTGCGCTTCGCCCTGCCCCTCCCGGCCGCCATCGTCCTCTTCCTGGCGATCCTCTTGGCCGCCGCCAGCGCCAGGGCCGAGCTCCGCGTGGACATCACGCGGGCCACGTGGAGCCTCTCCCCATCGCGCTCGTCGATCTCGCTGGCGCGAATGAGGCGGACGCCACGCTCGGCCGCCAGATCACCGAGGTGATCACTCGCAATCTGGAGCGCTCGGGCCTGTTCGCCCCATCGATCCGGCCGCCTTCATCATCGAACCCGGCGGCATGACAGTGCGGCCGCGCTTCCAGGACTGGCGCATCATCAACGCGCAGGCGCTGGTAACCGGCCGCGTTGTGCCCGGCGACCCGGGCCGGCTCGTGGTCGAGTTTCGCCTTTGGGACGTGTTTGCCGAGCAGGATCTGGTGGGCCTGAAGCTGAGCGGCGCGAGAGAGGCGTGGCGCTCGATCGCCCACACCATGTCCGACAAGATCTACGAGCGGCTGACCGGAGAGAGCGGGTATTTCCACACCCGGATCGTCTATATCGCCGAGACCGGGCCGCCGGATTTGCGAATCAAGCGGCTCGCGATCATGGATCAGGACGGCCACAACCTGCGCTACCTGTCGGACGGCAGGCACCTGGTGCTCACGCCGCGTTTTTCGCCCACAGCTCAGGAGATTACCTATCTCTCTTACGAGCGCGGCGTGCCCAAGGTCTACCTGCGCGACATCGACACCGGCCAACAGGAACTGCTCGGAGACTTTCCCGGCATGACCTTCGCGCCACGCTTCTCGCCGGACGGCAATCAGGTGGTTATGACCATGGCGCAGAGGGGCAATTCGGACATCTACGAGATGGATCTGCGCTCGCGCCAGGTCAGGCAGCTTACCAACAACCCGGCGATCGAGACGGCGCCCTGCTATTCGCCGGACGGCGCCTTCATCGCCTTCGAATCCGACCGGGGCGGCAGCCAGCAGATTTATGTCATGCGCACGCGATGGGAGCGACGAGCACCGCATCACGTTCGGCAAGGGTCGCTACGGAACCCCGGTATGGTCTCCGCGCGGCGACCTGATCGCCTTCACCAACAGCTATCGTGGCCAGTTTGCCATCGGCGTCATGAGGCCCGACGGGAGCGGCGAGCGAATTCTGGCGCAAGACTACTTGGTCGAAGGCCCGACCTGGGCGCCGAACGGGCGCGTGCTGATGTTCTTCCGGTCGAGTTCGCGAAATCCCGACAGCGCCGAATTGGTCTCCATCGATCTGACAGGGCGCAACGAGCGCATCCTGTTCACGAGCACGGCGGCGTCCGATCCGGCCTGGTCGCCGTTGATCCAGTAATGACGCAAAGCTATAGTCGCACGGCCAGCCGACGAAACCGCCGTCTCGGCGGCGGCTCAGCTTCACGGCACGCAAGAACGCGCCGCGCCGTGCTTTGGCGCTTGAGGATCGGTGGAATGTTTGCCGGTCATGGGCGGGATTCCGACGGTCCCGTCACCACTCACTGATGAAGGGGAGCGTGTTAATGCGACTGAGACTGATCTTGCCGTTGGTGATAGCGCTCGGCGTGGCGGCCTGCGAAAGCACGCCCCAGGACACCGGATCCAGCAGCGGCGCAGGAGTCGACGAGACGATCTCATCGGGCACGGATGTGACCTCCACCGACGTCACGATCGAGGAGGAGACAACCGTGGCAGCCCTCGACCCGAGCCAGCCGCTCCCGGGATCGCAGGAGGAGCTGGTTCAGAACGTCGGCGACCGCGTCTTCTTCGAGTTCGATAGCGCGGTCCTCGGCGCAGAGGCGCGCCGGACGCTGGATCGGCAGGCCGAATGGCTAAGGCTGTTCCCCGAGATCGCGCTGGTCCTCGAGGGTCATGCCGACGAACGCGGCACGCGCGAATACAACCTCGCGCTTGGCGAGCGCCGCGCTAACGCCGTCCGCGAATACCTGATCACTCAAGGCATCGCACCGTCGCGGCTGAGAACGATCTCGTACGGTAAGGAGCGGCCTTACGCGCTCGGCCACAATGAAGAGGCGTGGGCGCTCAACCGGCGCTCCGTCTCCGTCATCGACTAGCAGGCCCGAGGAACCCGAAGAGCGATGCGCGGCGGAGCATCCGCCCCGCCGAAGGGCGGTGTTCACCGTAAGCGGTGGTGGACGGCGGCGGTGCCGGCGTCCGCGCTGGCGGTGCTCGTGGCAGCGGCGGTCCTGCTGACGGCAACCGCCGTCGGCGCCCAGACCGGCGTGGATCTCAGGCCCCAGATTCGCAATTTGACCAATCAGATCGCGAGCCTTCGCGATCAGCTCGCCGACTTGGAGCGGGTGGTCCATGCCGGCGCCGCGCCGCGCTGGTGCGGCAGCCGACGCGGGTTCGGACGCTGGAGCTTCTGAGCGAAACAGCCAGCGCTTGGCGGAACTCGAGACTGACATCGACGAAGCCAAAGAATGGCGACGGCGCGTCACCGGCCGCTTCGAGGAGTTCGACAACGCGCTCCGCCGTCTCGAAGGGCGTATCGAACGGCTGGTCGCCGATGTGGACTTCAGGCTCTCCGCCCTCGAACAAGGGGCAACCACCCCCCCGGGCGGCTCAGCCGCCGCTCCCGCCGGTGAGGTGCCGCTCGTGGCACCTTCGGACCAGCGCCAGGCTGGCATCGCGCATCAACAGGGCGATGTCTACGAGCCTTCCGCCGCGCCTCGCTCCCTCGGCACCATACCGGCGGATGAGCCGAGCGATGAGGTGCCGCTCGCGGCGCTGACGCCCGAGGAGCAGTACAAGACGGCGTTCGGCCTGCTCGAAGAGGCGCGGCACGAAGAGGCGCACGACGTGTTCTCACGCTTCATCGACGCGAACCCCGAGCACGACCTCGCGCAGAACGCCGCCTATTGGCGCGCAGAGAGCCTTTACGCCAGGCAGATGTATCCCGAGGCTGCGAAATCCTACGCGCTCAACCTTCGGCAGTACCCGGACGGCCGCAAGGCGCCGGACAACATGGTCAAGCTCGGCTTGGCGCTGCTCAAGCTCGGGCGCACCGAGGAGGCGTGCCGGACCTTCGCACAGCTCGATCGAAACTTTCCCGACCCGCCGCTCAACATCCGCCGGGCGGCGCAACAGGGGCAGCGCCAAGCGAACTGCCCCTGATCGCAGCCGGGGTCTTTCCGCGCGTGGCCGCGCCCCGCATCGTCTCACCCACGACCGCCGATCCCGGCGCGGCGCCGATCGACGCGGACGCCTTCGAGGCGCTCATGGCGCCGCTTGGCCCGTTCGAACCCGCGCCGCGCGTTGCCGTGGCGGTCTCCGGCGGCTCGGACAGCCTTGCACTGTGCCTGCTCGCCGATCGCTGGGCGCGCGCGCGGGGCGGCACGGTCTTCGGGCTCACTGTCGACCACCGTCTGCGCCTTGCATCGGGAGCCGAAGCCGCCCAGGTGCGGCGCTGGCTCGCCACCCGCGCCATCTCCCACCGAACGTTGCGTTGGACGGGCACCCGCCCTGTCTCCAGGATTCAGGAGGAGGCGCGGGCCGCACGACTCGCGCTGCTTGTCGGCTGGTGTCGGCAGGCTCACGTCCTTCATCTGTTGCTCGGCCACCAGCAGGAGGATCAGGCCGAGACGGTGCTGCAGCGACTCGTCCGCGGTAGCGGCATCGACGGGCTTGCCGCCATGGCGCCGGTTCGCCTGGCAATCGAGTCCGACGGCGGCGGCGTGCGTATGTTGCGCCCTCTCCTTCCGGTGCCGCGTGATGCGCTGACAGCAACCCTGGCCCTTTGGGACCAACCCTGGATCGACGACCCGACCAACCGCGACACCTGCCATACTCGCCCGCGCCTGGCGGCGGCGCTGGCGCAGCTCGGGCCGGAAGGACTGAGCGCTGCGCGGCTGGCCAAGGTTGCCGAGCGCGCCGCAGAGGATCGCGCCGCGCTGGACGGGCTCTGCTCCGACCTGCTGGCCCGCAGCGCGCACCCCGCGCCCGGCGGCTTTGTGACGCTGGACCGATGCATCTTGCGTCATGCGCCGCCGGCGTTGGCGCTGCGCGCACTGAGCCGCGCCGTCACCACGGCTCCGGCGCTCCTCATCCTCCGCGGATGGAGCGTCTGGAACGGCTGGCGCAGCGGCTGCGCGGCGATAACGTCAGGGCGGCAACGCTCGGCGGCTGTCGTGTGGTCCCGCAAAGGGATGGACGACTCGTCGTTTGCAGGGAGCCTGCGGCAGCCTCGGAGGTCCTTTCGCTCAAGGCGGGCGACAGTGCGCTCTGGGACCGCCGATTCGTCGTCTCACTCGGCTCGTCCGCCGGGTCGGGGCCATTCCTCGTGCGCCGGCTCGGCACGGACGGTCTGACCCAGGCCCGCGCGATGGCGCGCGCCGCAGGCAGGCCGCTCGGAACCGATTGCATTCCGCCGCCCGCGCGTCCTGCGTTGCCCGCGCTATTCGACCTTGACGGGCCGCTCGCCGCTCCCCACGTAGACTTCAGGCGAACATCGCACCGGAACGAGGCCGCGGCCGTAGCATTTGCGGCATCGTTCAGGCCGGCGCGTCCGTTGGCTCCGGGACTTCCGGCAACGCTTGGCGTGTTGCTACTGCAGGACAAGACTGTTGACGAACGCGTTGAAGAGACTATTGATCGCCCGTGAGATGATTGTCGTGTACACTGCAGCAGGCGCACGAGCGGGCAGGGTGCGTGGGTCAGTCGTGAGCACGCAATTGGCGTCGGCGCAGATCGGGCGCGAACGCAGGAACAACCGGAGGCCGAACCGTGGGTAGCTTCGGCAAGAATCTGGCGCTTTGGATCATCATCGGTTTGGTCCTCGTGGCGCTGTTCCAGGTCTTTCAGGGGTCGTCTACGCGGCAGACTTCCGCCGATCTCGCGTTCTCGCAGTTCCTGGCTGAGGTCGAAGCCGGCCAAGTTCAGGATGTGACGATCCAGGGCAACACGATCACCGGCCACTACACCAACGGCACCGCCTTCAACACCTACGCGCCTTACGACCCCGAACTGGTCAAGACACTCCGCACCCACGACGTGCAGATTGCCGCCGTTCCAATCGACGAAGGCGGCCTCAGCATCGTCGGCATCCTGATTCCTGGTTCCCGCTGCTCCTCTTCATCGGCGTCTGGATCTTCATGATGCGCCAGATGCAGTCGGGCGGCGGCAAGGCAATGGGCTTCGGCAAGTCGCGCGCGCGCCTGCTGACGGAGCGCCAGGGCCGGGTGACCTTCGACGACGTGGCCGGCATCGACGAGGCCAAGCAAGAACTCGAAGAGATCGTCGAGTACCTGCGTGATCCGCAAAAGTTCCAGCGGCTCGGCGGCAGGATCCCGAAGGGTGTGCTGCTGCTCGGCCCGCCCGGTACCGGCAAGACGCTGCTCGCGCGCGCCATCGCGGGCGAAGCCAACGTACCCTTCTTCACCATCTCCGGCTCCGATTTCGTGGAGATGTTCGTGGGCGTCGGCGCGAGCCGCGTGCGCGACATGTTCGAGCAGGGCAAGAAGAACGCGCCGTGCCTGATCTTCATCGACGAGATCGACGCGGTTGGCCGGCACCGGGGCGCAGGCCTCGGCGGCGGCAACGACGAGCGCGAGCAGACCCTCAACCAGCTCCTCGTCGAGATGGACGGATTCGAGGCCAATGAAGGTGTAATCCTGATTTCGGCGACCAACCGGCCGGACGTGCTGGATCCGGCTCTGCTGCGGCCGGGCCGCTTCGACCGCCAGGTCGTCGTGCCAAACCCGGACGTGCTCGGGCGCGAGAAGATCCTCAAGGTGCACATGCGCAAGGTGCCGCTCGCGCCGGACGTGAAGCCCCGCACGATCGCGCGCGGCACGCCCGGCTTCTCGGGCGCGGACCTCGCCAATCTGGTCAATGAGGCGGCGTTGCTCGCGGCACGGCGCGGTAAGCGCGTCGTGACGATGATCGAGTTCGAAGACGCCAAGGACAAGGTCATGATGGGGGCCGAGCGGCGCTCCATGGTGATGACCGACGAGGAGAAGCGGCTTACCGCCTATCACGAGGGCGGCCACGCGGTGGTGGCGGCTCACCTCGAAGCCTCCGACCCGATCCACAAGGCCACGATCATCCCGCGCGGCCGCGCGCTCGGCATGGTTGTCCGGCTGCCGGAGGGTGACCGCATCTCGTCAGCCGCGAGAGTGGAGTAGTCGCTTTTTTTGGCCTTCTGGTCGGCGAGTCCAGTGTGGCCGCCATCACACGATGCAGTAAATCGGCCTGCGGCACATCCATCAGGACAGTCATTCTACATTGACAAGATCCGCAATATAGCCAGTCGCTAGCGCTTTGCGCCCCTGTTCATTGGCTGTCGGTGAGCACAACGCGGCGCTGCAGAGAACGGAGGGAGTGGAACTAGGTGTCGGCACGATGGAAGTCCTGGATGGCGGGGATCGTGGCTCGCGTCCAGTATTCTGCCTTTAATGTTTCCCTGTCCATTTCTGCTGATCTACAAGTTCACTTCCCAATACGCAAATTATTGCGTAATATGGCCCGGCCGCCAGCTGCATACTCGACGGTTGCTGCTGTTCGAGGTTGTCAAGAGCGTATCGTCTTCTACGTGGACAAACGCAAACTATGAAGAGGTTCGGATCCTGGCGTCATTTATGGGCTCTGGCATGGACTATTTCTCCGGGTGATTCTCATAAACAGGGGCGGGAATTTTCCTCGGAATTACGAGAGAATGAAGCACGGGGTCGGAAAGAGGACCAAACAGTGCCAAGGCACAGCGACAGAAATTCGGGAGGATGGCCGGAGGGAAGAGTAGCGGGCTGATTTGCCCCCACATTCCAACTGGTGTAACCAATCCATGTCGCCAGAAATTCAGGGACGGTGTCGGTAGAGGAGCTGTCTCCTGCCGTATAGCACCGCGCTGTCATCACTGTCCAGATCGTCAGCTTGATCCACAAGAGAAATATACCGAGTATTATGGGATGAAGGATTGGCGGGTGTACATTCCTGGATGGTATACGGCGAAAGTCACTGATGGCGAAACAGCGGTGGCCCCAGGATTACCCCAAGAGCGACGAAAGTATCGT